CCAGCAGGCGATCACCCAGTGTGCCCTGACTGCACCAATACCAGCCCTGCTCCCCGGCAGGTGATCACCCACCATACCCTGACTGCACCTGTACCAGCTCCGATCCACCGGCAGGTGATCATCCAGCATACCCTGACTGCACCAGTACCAGCTCCGATCCACCGACAGGTGATCATCCAGCATAACCTGACTGCACCTGTACCAGCTCCGATCCACCGGCAGGTGATCGTCCAGCGCCCTGGCCGCGCGCAGTCTGGTGCATGCCAAGGCCGGCACAGTGCTGGCCGCCCTGCTAAAGATGCTGCCCCTCTGGCTGATGGTTTTCCCGGGTATGGCGGCGCGCGTGCTGTACAAGGACCGCGTGGCCTGCTCGGACCCGGAGGCCTGCTGGCGGCTCTGCCGATCCCGCTCCGGCTGCAGCAACCTCGCCTACATCGAGCTCGTGGTGCAGCTGCTGCCGCCCGGTGAGGTTTGACGGCGACACGTCCTGGAAGGCGCCGTTGCATTACGGAGATACCGGGCTGGCGCCCTTTTTAAGATGTCATGCCGGAGGCTAGCGTGGGAGGGGACAGCGCTCGCCTGCATTGCATGGCTACGTTCGCCGCCGATTTGTACTGTGCTCTGCATTCTGGATGAAAACGACACGCCAGCGTAATGATGACTTACCGTGTGCCCGTCGCCAGCTTTACTGCGACACAGCGTTACCTCAATAATGCTGTACGGTTTTGCGCGGAGTGACCTCGCGGGCTCGTTAGCAGGCACGTCTCAGGTCCTGTGTCAGGGACTGTGAGCGTTCCCTTGCACTGTGGTACTTACGAACAGAAAAAAGCGTTGACCAAAGTGTGGTACTGGCTCAGCTTTCCTTGGTCCAGTATGGTTCAGTTATCTTTGGCTTCGCTAGCACGCCTCAGCAGTCACTGCCCTGGCTTAAAAGAAGTGTTCCTCCTCGGTATGGGGTATGAACTGAAATAGCCTTTTTGAAGATCATTCGGTGCAGCTCACAGCCCTGCCCCTTTAGATCTAAGCCCCTCTAGTTCTTAGCTATACGCCCACGAAGGTATATGGTATGAGGTATATATCGTGCAGATTATTCCAGGAAGCTTGTTTTCAGGTCACCCAACCATCAAGGTCATTCAGGCGCCCAGGAGCAGTTGTATGGTCTAAAGCAGTCTGTTCCACTTAAAATGATACCAATAGTTATGCCACGCCAATCAACCTCGTCAGTCGCTCCCTTAACCAACCTGAAATGGGCACCAAAAAACCGACTTTTCATGGCTGATGCCGGCGATGGTGCCGTTGACTGCCAACCGCCTCCGCAGGCCTCTCTGGCATGATGCTGGCAGTGATGCTAGCCGCCCTGATGTCTTCGCTGACGTCCATTTTCAACTCTGCGTCCACGCTGTTCTCCATCGACATATACAAGCGGATCAGAACGAATGCGACGGAGATCGAGCAGGTCATTGTGGGCCGGTAAGGATCGAATACAATGAACTTGCAAGGATTAGCAACGGCGGAGACATAAACAGTGTGATTTTACTTAACGCGTTATCCCATCCGCGGCTTATTGTCTCCATTTTTGTATTGGTGCCCGCATTGTGTGCGTAGACCGCAGCATGCATACAACAAAAATGTCCTCTTTGATATGGATTAAGCTTTATTTAATATCGGCGTGGATGAGAGCTGTATCTATGCGCATGTACACGTGGTACACATTCTGCATGTACACGTGGTACACATTGTGCTGGCAGCATTGCGACAACTCGTGTGCGTAATCCCTGAATGATTGCCGTTTGACAAGAGACGGCCCGTTTTCAGCATGTTCGTTATCGTCATGGTGGGCATCTCCATCGTGTGGGTGCCCATCATCAACAACTTCTCGTCGGACCAGCTGTTCGTCTACATTCAGAGCATGCAATCGTACCTACCACCGCCCATCTGCGCCGTCTACGTGCTCTCCGTGTTCTGGAGTCGGACCACCGAGCCGGTACGTCCAACAGCCCGCCAGCCTCAGGATGGCGGCGCCGCGCAGGCGGTGGTCTGGAGCCGGGGATGTGTATAACCAGCCCAGCCCACTGTCCCGTGTCTGGGGGAAGCTGGCAATGTGGTCTGACGGACGTCAGAGGCTGTTTCCCTTCGGACAGATGTCACGACGCGGACGGAGAATGCCGCTGATGATTGGTAAACCCAGGGGGGTCCAAAGTCTAGTATAAAATATGGCAGCAACGGCGCACATTTCACAACTAGCCATAGGGTTCCCATGTTAAAATGACCTTCTTCAGACCCACGGCCTTCTAAATCTTGAACATATATATGCATAAAAAGTGCATAAAAATGAAGCTTGAACAATTCTCTTTCGATTTCCAAGATCAAAAGTGTGCGCCGTGGCACTCATTTTCGAGGTATCAGGCAAAGCGCAGACCCATGCACGCGCCACGATGTCCGGGCGCGGGATCGAATCCCGCTGCCGCCAACTCTTTTCAGCAGAGTTCAGATGGAACACGGAGTGAATACGGCCACTAACTGGGCGTAGAACTATTGAGTGCAACATTATTCTGATTATATATATATAGAGAGAGAGAGAGAGAGAGAGAGAGAGAGAGAGAGAGAGAGAGAGAGAGAGAGAGAGAGAGAGAGAGAGAGAGAGAGAGAGAGAGAGAGAGAGAGAGAGGAGAGAGAGAGAGAGAGAGAGAGAGAGGGTGTGTGTGTGTGTGTGTGTGTGTGTGTGTGTGTGGTGTGTGTGTGTGTGTGTGTTGGGTGTGTGTGGTGTGTGTGTGTGTGTGGGTGTGTGTGTGTGTGGTGTGTGTGTGTGTGTGTGTGTGTGGTGGTGTGTGGGTGTGTGTGTGTGTGTGTGTGTGTGGGTGTGTGTGTGTGTGTGTGTGTGTGTGTGTGTGTGTGTGTGTGTGGTGTGTGTGTGTGTGGTGTGTGTGTGTGTGTGTGTGTGTGTGTGTGTGTGGTGTGTGTGTGTGGGGGTGGTGTGTGTGTGTGTGTGCGTGTGTGTGTGTGTGCGTGTGCGTGCGTGCGTGCGTGCGTGCGTGTGCGTGTGTGTGTGTGTGTGTGTGTTGTGTGTATAGTATGCATATATATGCATATCATGTGTGGCCTGAAAATGCATCTGTGCTGTGCTGTGAAATATGATGCGGGCTATTACAAGAAATACACATATCTTTTTATGTTCATCAAATATACCTGACAGGTGTTATGCAGCCGTCGGGCTACATACAACAGCCTATGGCTGGGGCGCATAGCATTATTGTGTCTGACGCATGGAACCGATCGCGACGGTAGCGGTCCAAGGCTGGCTATCCAACGCGCCCAGAGGTAGGACCAGGCACTGTGTTAGGTTCGTAAGTTGTGATGCTGGCGGCCACTGTTGTGCAGGGCCGGCAATGCCGCCTCAGAACCAGCGCAGCGACGATAGCATAGTAGCATTGCAAGCACCGCTGATTGGGGAGCAGTTGTGCTTAAAAGCGGGATTGTAAGCATTATGATGATAAGTGCCATAATGGTGAGCTTGTACTGCACAAAGGCCCTGATATGACAAAATTTATCAAAACTTCTTTGATTGATCTTGAAGAGCTTAAACACCTGACAGACCATCGGCCTAAGTAACCATGCTCCCTAAAAACCATTTACACTGAAGGGTTTTGGCATAAGAGTGAATACAAAACTTCTATCACTGGCTCCACTGAATAAAATAAACCAACACAAATCTTGCTTTCACATCACAAAACCGTGCAAAATAGCTATTTGAACTTCAATATGACATTTTGTTTCTACTCCTCATTAAGCCTTGTAATTGATAACTTTACACTTTCATCCATTGACCTCAGAGTAGGAATGTACACCTAAGCAGCTGAAGTGAAATGGGCACTTTTAGAAGGTGCATCAGTATCTGAAACATATGCAGCCTTGGCTCAAGGCAATAAAAACTATCAATGGGCCTTAGATTGCCCCAACCATGCCCCAGTTATGCACATTTTTATATAGATGCAACATTGCTTGTATTTATATAATATTTATGTACCACCATGTACTCAGCAATTTGCTCATATTATCATGAGGGGGAAATTGTGTTGATATAAATTATGCAATGATGTTGTGTAACAGATACAGTGCTGAGGGCCAGGGTTACAGCTAGCATGCAGAATATTGCAATATTTGACACAAACATCTGTTTCTATAAATGTCACCAATCTGAAAACTTCCCTTGCATAAGCAGACATTCTATATGTTGAAATTAATTTGATAGCCCTGTATCCTACATGATCTAATTATTTCAGCATGAGACTTGTCATAAATCATAAAGATGATTTATCTTCCTGACTAACTGTACATTTCAGGTACAACACAAACCAATGCACCCATTAAATACATTAACTACAACATTTGTTGCTTACATTGGATACATTTACCAAGCACAGGTTATTGTTCAATGCCAGGTTTATGCTGCATACAGTTGCATGGAGCAATTGCAATCTTGTGATGGTGGCCTCCTCAAACAATGTTGAAACGCACTAGCAAATGTTGGCTTGCCCTTCTCATATTGTTGCGAGAATATTACAAAACAAACTAAGGTAAAAGCAGCTATCACATCATGACAACCTGCTTTGGGCACTATTTGATGGCATTGGCTGTACTTTTGAAGGAAAGACACAAAACTACAACTTTAAATCACCTTAAGTCAAAATGAGATGTCCAGACACAATGAAAAACACACATTAGGTGGTGAGGTAGGGTTGCCCTCAGCACAGCCCACCAATATGCAACACACATTGATTCTTCTGATATGATAAGATAACTTATGATATGATAAGAAAAGATAACTTATGATTTCACATAAGTTGAATTATGCTGGAAAACTCAGCCAATTTTTCACATAAGATGACCTTTTCTAAACAGCACAGGCAGATAACTCCTTTGGTGAAATGTCATACCACATATGTGCCCGACATTGCATCATACCAAACATTTCTGTTAATTACAGTGCCTTTCATGTCTCAATAAACACATCTAATGCAACCACACAGCTGTGCTGAACTGACATAATTACTGGTTGGCCCATTTCATGGGTGGTAACATCACTGTGGACAAAGGCTATCAATGCTTATGTGGAATATTCAAATGTCAATCAGACAACAATTTCAACATTCATGTATTAAAAATTAACAAGACCCTTAGCTCCAACATAAATATACCTGAGCAAGCCCTGGCCAATCACTTTGCATGCAGCATTCCACAAGCATTCAACAGCTGGTAGCCTAGGCCACAACCTTCATCACTGGCAAGTTGTGCAGTAACTGAATCATTACATTATCACGTTTGCTACAGGATGTTTAAATGAGTCATTATATGCAAACTGAGACATAATGTGACTTGGTAAAGAACAACATACATCTGATTAGCCCAGAGGCATCTGAAATTACTTGAACACAATCTGATCCTCCAACCACCATCCCCAATACCGCACCGCAATTCAAGTGTTTTAGGATTGTGAAATGTGATTACACTTAATCGCCACATACAAACCAAAGATGCCCGCTAACACAGAACTGGCCAACTTTTCGGAACAACATCCTAAATCTGGTGTTAATCCCGTTTCTGGTATACTTATAGTATGTGTTGATACCTACTGGTCAAAACTTTCGAGTACCCGGTGTTGTATTGCCCTGGGTAACCCGAGCATTGCTCTCACTGCTCACTGAACTCATTGGTATCACAGCGAGTGTTCATATGCAGCAAGATCCTGTGAATAGGCATGGGTTTTATGCACACAGGGTGCCTTCTACGGCCTGGTGTTGGGTCTGGCGATCGGCGCGTAGCGCGGGTTCGTCGCCGAGTTCTCGTTCGCTGCGCCCTCATGCGGTTCGACGGCGCCCGACCGGCGGCCCGACTGGATCCGACGCGTCGTCTTCGGCGTGCACTACTGCACTTCGGGCCGCTGCTGTTTCGCTCGTGGTGTGCGCGAATCGTGGTGGTGGTGGTCGCTTCTGACCGAGCGCTGCCGGCCGCCGCTTGCACCGGCTGACGTTCTGGACCCGGCACAGGCACGGCCGAGCGCCGCCCGCTGCGAAAAAGTAGGGACGACATCCGCGCCGACGGCAGCGCCCACGAGCGGAACGGCGCGGACGGAGAACACGGTGAGTGGTGCGGAAATAGGAGGGGCAGTGGGAGGGGGCAGGAAACGGTGGTTGCCATAGCGTTAGAACGCGTTGGAAACGTTAGCAGCCCTGTGCCAGCGCCGCTGAAGTAAACCTTTGCTGTTATGCTCACTCTAAGAAGAGAGACTCAAGCTGCTGCTCTGTGTAAAAATAACCGCGACAGACCGTGTGGCGCGCATATGCCTGCAAGCAAAACCCATTGCACACTTTCTACACTGACCAGGAAACAATGCTGACAGGAGCTGTGACACCCACACGCTTAAGCCTCACACCCGCCGTGCACTCAAACCCGACCCCAGAGCAGGCCGTGTCGTGACCGCGTGCCCGCTGCAGGGGACGACAGAGCCGCTGACGGGCGTGCCGGCGAGCACTGCGCGTGCTCTGCTGTGGTAAACGCAGAACGGCGACGCCGAGGCTGCGCCGGACGGCCGGCACGCGGAGCAGACGGGTGAACAGCGGGCCCGAGCGGGCCGCCAGTGTCCTCAAGGAGACCCGACGACAGCGCATGTGAGGCATCTTCCTCTGTAAGGGATTTCAATTTGGGCTGGGCTATGTCTTCCAACGTCACTGAGTGCCTTGGCCCGCAAGGCCCGCAATGTGTGCCTTGTTTTGTGCAGTTGTCGAGACTCATGTGCAGCAGGTGGTCAGGACACTCAGTAGATTCAAAGCTAGGAATTTGAGCGCTGATTGGTACGACAAAGGTACGAAACTCACCTGGCAACTGTCCAAAGGGAGACAGCTTGTCATCAACGCGGGATGGGCGGGGTGACAATTACCCCATTCACCCCGAGTGTTTGCCTGGCTCCGCGATCCCCCCCGTAATCTGGCGCCTAAGTCACCAAAAGTCGGGAGAAACTAGAACGGGGTTTGTGTTTGGAAAAGACCATGCCCTACCCCCCCCCCCCCCCGCCCCATCCCTACTTCCCCTTCCCTCCCTTCGGATTAAATTCCATGTAGTTCTAACCCTAACCGATTATTCGTTTTGTCATACGGTCATATGTACTTGTCATTGTGTGACAGGGCGACAGAACTCTACGCAATGGCGATCTGGCCATGGTTAGAAAATGGAGCACATGACTGGTGTGGTAATGGAGTCCGAACGTGCGTTACAACTGGGCTGGCGCCGCGATCTGTGTGTTTTTTCCATCGAAAGGTACCCGCCTCACCAGCTGTGCGTTATCAACTTGTTTTCTAGCATTGTACAACTGCAGTTCATGCTAAGAAACCAAATGGAAAATTCAGCAGTGACCACGATTTTCGATGATTATTGCTTCCTGCTTTCAGCGTCCTGAACGTGGCCGCTGTTCTCGCCATGGGGCTGTCTGCCACTCTCTACATCTACTACAGATGAGGACTATCTCCGGAGCCATAGAGGCTCATGCGCAAGGAGCTAGAATTGCTTTTGAACTAGGGTGGGAGTGAAAAATTTCATCGCAAAAAGACCGCGCAGGAGTGAAAAAATTAATTCACAAAAGATGTAACTTATGAGCTCGTGACTGTTGCTTCAGCAAACAAAGACACATATTTCAAGTTGGCATGCACGTACTATCATAAACCTGGCAAAACTTTTGGGTTTTAACATCTTAAACCGTTTAAGTGAAACAGAATAATTAAAGCATAGCAATTTCATGACAGTGTAATGAGCATAAACAGTTATTAACGCCAATAATTTGATGTTGTATTTTGCACTTCCCTTCCACAGGACTTTAACACAACACAAAGCAAAGAAATTTAATGACAAAATAACAGAAAATTCAACAAGCATAAAGCACTCGAACAGAAAGAAACCTTGGACCCCTACACATCAGCTCATCACCAAGTCAAACACAATAGACATACCTCTGGCTTTTATTGAGATGGGGTCAGGGAAAACAAGCATTTTGTCACTGTTTCATACAAAATACCAATGCTTATTCCACGAAAGTAGCCGAACTATGCCTAACGTAAAAAAGCCTTATTTCATTTCATCCTGTCTAACCTGTTTGTATCACAGCAGCAGTTGTGAGTTACTGATTCTTGCACAATTTCTTTTTGCCACTTGCCATGCACTTAACCAACTTAACCTAACTTAGAGTAGCCCATATGTTGTACATCATCTCAACTCACCTATCTGTTGACGGCAGCATTTGCGATATAAATATAATATAGCTAATTTTTGGCTGGTTTCAAATTGCATTTGTATTCAGTTCATTTGCGTCCGCTTGTTGACATCAGGCAAAGTTGGCAACACACAAATCAAATACTTGAAATCACTGAACAGCTTATTTTGATTGTCATGGTTAACCTATGTCAAGGGCAGAAACGGGTTTGCTCCACGAAACAATCTCCTTTACCTTTAGACGACCATGCCAGTATTGCTGCTTGCCTTTTCAGCTGCAGCCAAGGCATCCATTTAGGCTTGTTTATTCATATTTAACAGCAAAATCTGACACCTTGGCTTCACATTTTAAATGGGATGGTCTGACCATTTGTTACATACTAATTTTTAACTCATATTATAATTGCTATGCAGCTTAGAGTATCCCCGTGTTAAAAATATAGTGCATATCAACAGTCCAGTCTTTGCCAGACAGCAAACCATGACAACTGTAGAAAAACATCTGGTTAAAGCAACAATGAAGGGTTACTTCAAGAAGTTTGGGGCAAATAATCAAGAACGTGGAACAAAATAAGCCCATTGCATGCCTTAGGGCATTATAATTTGTCTTATGACAAAACTCATTTGATTGAAACAGAAAATGGCTAGCTCTGGTTACCAATCATGTGTTGAAAGCGGGTAAGGTAGGCGATTACTTGGTTCACAGGAGACTTACTGGCTTCTTCCTGCTCCCCCAAGACAAAAAGTTAGCACCTTTTGCATGGTCTGCTGGCAGACAGTTATCCCACTCCCCCCCCCCCCCCAAATATAAATATCAATCATGCCTTCCAACCTACGAGATGAGAATGCGAAACAAATAAAAGGTGCGCATGGTAAACATCTCCAGAGGACAGAATTTCGCCACCAAACACTTTTGTATTAGCTGCGTCAGGTCTGTCCGAAAGCTCTGTGTGGCAGCATTATGATGGCTTTGTCAGGTAGCCTGGTGAGTCAGACACTCGAAAGGCTTAGATTTATCATTATTGACCGCCGACATGTACCAAGAAAACGGTTAAACGAGGGTTTAACAGGGCGAAAATGGAGGTAGAAATAAGTTCCGTACCTTAAATTGTCTCCTTTCTTTCCTGTGAATTGTTCCCCCTTGCGTGCATTATCAAACAACATGTATCAAACGTATCGTATCAAACATGTTTGGGCGGCCGGCGAATTAATCCAATTTATGTATGAAATACGTACAAGTTTGCAGTTGAAGAATCTTGCAGCGAAATTGGTGAACATTTTAAGCAACAGATGGTACCTCTAAAGGCAATCCAAAAGAAAGGAAGAATAAAGTGGTATCACACTCGCATGACACCAAGAAAAATAGAAGTAGGTAAATAAATATAAAGACCGATACTTTTCGGGCAAAATTTTGTTATCAGCTGAGTTGACTTAAAACCTGTTAAACCAAGTGTTCAAATGGTGGTGTTCATTTTGTAAATTTAATCCGAAGACATTTCTTGAATCCTTCACTCCTGCATTTCGGGAGTGATGTAATTTAGTGGTCAAGTTTCCTCGGGAAAAAGAAATACGTGGAGTAAAATTCTCTACCAGGCCTTGCTGGTGTTTGCACCAGGCTCTGCGTACGTGGTGTGGCGGTGAGAACAAGAAATAGGGGATGTGTGAAAGCCTTGCAATGGGCACACAGCTGTCGATTTTAATGCATTTTGTAAACAAACCAAACTTAATGCGTGCAGGCGGCTGGAGTCGCTGGGGTTCTTGGTCTTGGACGTACCTGGCGTCCTTGCTCTGTGCATACATAGACATGATTCAGATGTGGGTGAGGCAGGACATAGCCATAGGTGTCCGGGTTCTGTGGAGCCTCGTTTATGCTTGGTGGTTTCAAGTGAGCTCGGTTTTGGATGACATCTGAAAACTCCAGAAAGGGAAATAGGGGTTTGGCATGTGCTGTTAGACAATGTCAGGCGGGAATGAAAAAATTCACATCAAATATGGGGAAAAGGAGTGAAAAATTCCTTCTCATAGGGTGTTGCTTTACACCCAAAGTCGGCAATGCCAGGATAATGCTCCTGTTCTCGCTCAGCAACAGCCGTAGCAGCCCGCGCGCTCAGTCTTGTGCGTGAACCTTCGCGCACCGATACTGACCTCATACGGCGAGTTGAACTGTTGTGTTAAACGTCAAGAAGTGTTCGAACATGTAGCTCATGAGCCAGTGTGAGAGATCTGCAGAGGATGTCTGTATGAAGGCGATATGTGTATAGTCGGGGATACGCTGTTGTATCGCTTGAGAACATCGGGGGATATTCTGGAACTGTTTGGTGATGTGGGCGACATGTTATGTTTAAAGACGTGACGTGTTTGTGTTCGTGTTTTGCCACATACGAGGCTGCAGCTTTGTTTTTGCTTCCGTCGCGAGTCGCTAAGTGTGTTGGCAGATGGCTCAAAATCTATGGAGCATATTATCAGCGCGTTAGACAGATCCCCGAAGTGACATCAGCTCATTTGTATCAGCCGGCGCGTGCTTTGATTGCGGATGGCCGCCAACGTGCTGGTTTTCAAATGC